CATAAATTTATTTTTCCCAGTAAATTGCAAACCCATTTTTTTTCTCAGTTGATATCCAGAACCTGTCTTTATGGACTTTGCAAAGAGGTTCAATGTAGCCATGTCTGATCTGTGTTTTAGCTTACTTTGTTCCTCAAGAAGACCTATGTATACTTTGTTGTGTGCAGGACATTAAGTTATTCATCACCAGAATAATTTTTGACAAATTGATCTATGATTAAATATGCCTAAAATAAACCACTTGTGGTCAGACTCTCAGAATCTGAACGAGCATCAACTATTGAGTCACGCTGAACCGACTGCCTTCCTGCCTCCCTCAGCTCATCTCTCCACTACCTGTGAAAGTTACAGAGATCTCCACACCTTAGTACTACTCTCTGTAGGTTGCATTTATGGTGATTAAAAACATAATAAAGTTTTAAAGTCCATTCCTAAATACCCGAGAAGCGGGAATTCAGCACATGTCCCACAGTCTGAGTTCTAGGCAGCAACTTTATCTCCCAGCTGCGATGCCAAAGCTGCAGCAAGGCAGGCTAACTCGATGCTGGCGAGCAGAGAGGTGTACTCAAAACAAGGACTTAATGCAGAAAATGAGAGGTCTCTTCTGAACATGAGACTGAACCCACTGAGAGACCTGTGCCCTGTAGGCCACACGGGGCCATAAGACATGATCTGCACAAATACAGAAAGGTCACAGTGAAACATGGTAATCTGTACAATTGGCACACCTATGTGAATAATGATGTTTTTTAATTTTTTAAAAATAATAGGATGGAGCCGGGCGGTGGTGGCGCATGCCTTTAATCCCAGCACTCATGAGGCAGAAGCAGGAGAATCTCTGTGAGTTCGAGGCCAGCCTGGTCTAGAAGAGCTAGTTCCTGGACAGGAACCAAAAGCTACAGAGAAACCCTGTCTCGAAAATACAAATAAATAAATAAAATAGGATGGGACCAGCAAGATTACTCAGTGGGTAAAAGTGCTGTGGTTCAAATCTGACTGCCTGGATTCAATATCCAATTCCCAGGACCTGTGGTAGAAGCAGAAAACTGACTCCTGCGAGTTGTCCACTGACCCTTCATATGGGTGCCATGCCATATGTGCATCTGTTCTCTCTGTCTCTCTGTCTCTCTGTCTCTCTCTCTTTCTCTCTCTCTCTCTCTCACACACACACACACACACACACACAGAAGAATAACAAATTAAGAAAAAAACAATAGTATGATTTTGTAGTATGGTCTTGGAACACTAATAATCATAGGTCCATAAGTCAATTAAAAAAGTAAAGATTTGGAGTTTGAAGAGTTGGCTCCCTTGCTCAGCAAGCAGGAAGACCTGATTTCAGATGCCTAGCACCCAGGTGAAAAACTGGGTGTGGCTCCACATGCCTGAAACACCAATGTTGGAGGGGCCAATAAGTCAGAAGACCGCCTTCAAAAAGCAAAAAGACCTCAAATGTGGAGGATGAGCCAGCATTGGAGAATGTTCATGGCTAAGGTATGCTGCCATCCCAATGGTTTGCACTTAGCAACAGATTTTAATTTCCAAAGCAAACCAAATTGCAAAATTAGAAATGCAGACGTTACCTTGAGGCTGGGAAAGCTTGGAAGAAAATGACAGGATTTACCCTGTAAACCGTCTTGCAACACTTGTCAGGGCAGACATTATGCCAGATTTCAAGTCTCTTTAAAAAAAAAAACAGTTTGGAAGATAGCAAGAATGCCTTAAAACAGAAATCCTTACATATGGATGCAGATTTAACCTAGCAGTTCTGTTACAATCAGATTCCTAATTCAAAATCTCACTGTGTAAGCTTTCTCACAAGATAAAAAAAGAGCTGTAAGCACATAACCCATCACTACAGGATTTAATGACCATGTTTATCTATGAACACAAGTCTCTTGGACTGGGTGAGAAGGGGCCTAGTCCTGAACTCCACTCCTCCCATGCCAAGTGGGCCTCGAATAATTTTAGCTTATGCTCCAATTGACCAGAATTCCTTCATCTATTGTCAAGAAGCTTTTGGAGCAAGAACAAGCTCCACCTAGATGGGCATGAGCCAGAGGCATGGGCACAGGAAGAAAAGAAGATGTGTACAAATCCCAGACACGGACTGAAGAGATGGCTGAGTTGGTAGAGGCACACACCATCGGGCCTGAGCCCCCAGAGCCCACGTGTTGGAAGGAAAGCCTAGCAGTACATGTGGCCAAATGCCCTCCACCAGCCAGGACTGTCCGGGGGGGGGGGGGACCAAAAGAGAAGGTACCTGGGCCTTGGGAAGATTTTTCTCAATTCTATTCCAACTCAGAGCTCTGGGGCATGTGAGAACTCAACATTCCACACTTAGTCTTGCAATTAATTCATTACAAGGATGCAGTATTCTGTAAATGGGTAGAACACATTTACAGTCACACCTATTAGCTTAAATACATAATGTTTCCAGTATTGAGACATCGAGACATGACCTCTGTGAGTCATTTGTTTTGTACAGCTCCAGCTGGGCCCATAGTTACATGGTGGTCACACTGCCCCTCTCCCAAGACACTCTCACCTATGTGAGCCTGTTCAAGCCTCTTAGCCTTCCCTAAGTTGGTTTCCTTATTTGTCAAGACAATGACAGCAAGAGCCCTCTCATCTTAGGAGTGCCGTGACCAGGAAATGAACTGGTGCATGTCAAGTGGCTAAAACAGCTCCTAGGACCAAACAAGGGCTCTCTACACCTCCACTCCACTAATCACCAAACAAAGTTGCCAGCCTCCTGGAAATTCTATGTAAAAATCTCGGCCAGGCCTATGTGTTGCTTCTTCCCCTTTGCTTTCTAACTTCAAATGTTTTGTTTTATGGTTTGCGAAGGAAAATTGTTTCCCACCCTCAAAAGGACAACTCGTCTAACTGCCGATATGTCTGGTACAAGTCCTTCTAAAATTAAATATGCGTTCTTTACTGCCCAGCTCAGCAGATAACTCAGGCCTCTTGCTGGTATGAAGCTCGAAGTCTAGCCAACTGGCTTGCTGTGCCATTAAGCATTTGAAAGACATGACCATTTCCAATTTTAAATATTAAAGTAATACTTCCTAGTCTTCATATTCATAAGGTTCAAAGCTACAAGTCAGGGTTCTCATCATGAAGCCACGGAAGCTGTGAGAAACTCCCACTCAAAGCAGAGCCCCTCAGTGGAGAAATAGATGGGAAGAGGTCCACCATAGTTGTGTAGTACCCCACATGTTTCTTTATTAGTTAGCGGGGTCCCCATCATTACAGTACCCTCTAACTGCTCACACTCTCTGATTGACTTCTGTCCCTCCAGCCTCCAACGACTGACAGAGTTGAAGGGAAATACGGACACACTGAAACGTGTGCAGAAAAATCTTACAGAATTTCACACTCAGTCTAGTTGTTTGTTATGGTTGAAGGCCTAAAAGCTCCAAAGGAAAGAGTCAAGGTCATATTTACCCCTTTGAAATACTGGTCTAAACTACACATTCAATGCAGTGAACATTCGAACTTACACCACCAGCAATTACTCTGAAGAATTTGCAGAATGTATTATTTGTTGGGCTAAGCAGGTAGAACGCTTCTCCTTCCCCAGGGTATCTCTAATGAAGCATTGCTAAACTCACAACAGTTCCTCTAGTAACTCAAGTCTTCTCCAAACCTAACAAAGGATACAAAACTCAACAGGAAATAAAGGAAAATTAATTGTATTCTACAGAGGCCTGACTGAACACATCCATTCACCCAGCAAGAATTCCATCTCAATCAAACACATTGTTTCTCTAAAGAGTTTCACCAACTCCCTATTTTAAAAACCCACGATCTTGTCCAATTTTGCCAATTTTTCCTTAAGCAACTAAATGGGCTTTCGTGAAAGCTAGACCAGAAAGATAATTTTTACAAGCTTATTGTTTATACAGTCAAACTTCATTATATTGCAATCATTCATCGGTAGCCCGCATGGAGAATGCTGTTGCCTTGTGCAATATGAGTGCTAAAGAAAATATGTGTTCACAATAGGCCATAAGATATGTGAAAACAGGATGGCCACACGGTAAATGATGGTAAAGCCAGCGAAGCTCATCTGGCTTTCATTTTTGCCCAAGAGCCTACCAGTTACAAGAACGCAAATCTAGCTTTAACTTGGAAACCACATTCTTAATTATTAATCTCCTCCACGCTTGTCTTCATTCCTTCCAAACTCCACTAGGCTAACCGAAGTAGAACACTTCACTGAGAACCCCTGTTGCTAAATGACTCTCGGGAAATCATTTGGCCTTGGTCATTTTTCTCCCTACATCAAATGTATGTGTCAGACCTGTGCATGACCTCACACCCTGAACTGTGGGAAACCGGAGGCTGTTGGGAAGAGCTTGGCTACCCTGAGCACACAGCTTGGGAAAGCAAAGTAGCCGCAGCAAAGCTCAACCTGAGCAGCTTGGGGAAGAGCCTTGAGGACTCACGAGCAGGGGAGGTGGGAGGCTGAAAAAGAGAGAGAGAGCGTTGGATTCACAGTTGTGAGCTACAAGGGGACTCTGAGACCCCCAGAACCTCTCCTCTCCATATGCTTCTTAAGGTTCTTTCTCTTCATTCCCACAGAAATCCGAGCTACCCCGGATCAGGGCACTCACTAAAGGCTTTCCTTTCCCCAGTCTCTACTAGGGTGCAGTCAAGGCGAGACACTCTGAGTGCCACTGGGTGTAGTTAGGGCTGTGCAGACCAGCTCTGAAAACTCGGAGGAAAACCCTGGGCTTCTCGAGACCCAACCCTCTTCCCACGCCATCAAGGGAGCCCGCAGCTCTCCGGTACTAGGCTGCTGGACCCAAGTAGAGGAGTCCCAAGTGCTGCGCCCCAGCACCCAGGAGAGAGAGATCGCGCAGTGACCCGCTCTGGGGTTTGGTCCCCAAGAACCAGAGCAACGCACACGCGGGAGTCAGAGCCACTTAAAATTCCCGGGAGGGCACAGAGGGGCGAAAGAGAACCCAACCCTCCAGCCAGTGCCCAAGTACCTCGCAGCCATACAGCTGACCCAGCTGCTCCACGATCCATTCCTCCAGCACCAACCGTTTCCGAAGCTCCTTACGGTCGTATTTCACTGTCACTTTTCCCTGCTGGTGACGTCGTTGTTGCTGTTGCACCTGCCCGGCAGCGGCCACTGTGGCCACTGGCGCCGAATCTTCCCTTGAGGAGCCCGAGCCGCTGCTGGATCCCGGGCTGCCGCCTGTGCTACCACGGGGACTCTGGAAGAAGACGCGCGCACCGCCGCCACCGGCACCGCCGGCCGCCTCGCCACCGCCAGTCACCACCGACATGTCCCCGAGTGCCGGAGCCCGAGAGTGGCCCGGAGAAGGGGCGGGCGAGCGCCCCGCGCCGCTACCACCGCGGCCCCCGCAGCCGCATACGAGGGCCCGCACCTGCTCCGCGAGTCTGGCCGCTGGATCCTGGCGGAGGGAGGAGGGAGGAGGGCGGGCAATGAGGGCGGGACCGCAGCCTTAAAGACGCCTCCAAGGACCCTGGTGCTGTAGCCCCAGAGACCGCCCCCGGTTTGAGAGTCGTATGAGGTGGAGAATCTGTCCCTGGGGAACCGGCCGGTGTTGGGTTGTGTAGTCCAGAGAGGAGACTGGCGTGGATTGTCTGGATGGCAGGGGAGAGGCGGTCTTGCACACGGGTGTCTCTTGCTCTGCTGTGCTTCTTTCGCAGTCCTGGGGAGCACGAAATCTGTGGACTCCCACAATCTGGGTCAGTTCTTTCCCACAAGGTAAAAGGTCATGGGAAATCGAGCTGCGAGGTCCTCTCGCCCGAGGGTCTTCCAGGATGACAGGGAATGTCTCCTTCCCTCTCCTTTGGCTGGCCCCACCCGGTTGTTCCAAACACACATTCCTATTCACGCCATGACCACCACGGATGCCACTTCCTCTGTCGGATTGGTAAGAAAATTGACGAGGCGATGTTTGTGCAATCAGGCAATCACCACGGTTGAGAAATTATTCCCAGACCGGTTTTTCCTTTTCTTACTAAGCGCCTTTGATTCACCCTAAGCTGGGAATCAAAGGTTTGAACAGCCCAGAGGGTGAGGGGCTAGTGCCATCGGGACCCCAAGCGTTTCAGGGTTAGCTGGGCTTAAAATCTACTGTTGTGTTCTCAGTTCAGAGAGCTTTCCTCCCAGGGCCATTTCTAAACAACCTCTTTTTTTTTTCCCTCAGGAAGGCAGCCACATTGACTAGCTTACTTGAAAAACATCATGCAACCAAGTAGAATTACGAATGAATGAGCTTATTATAAGGTTGAGGGCGAAGAGGTGGGATGTGGAATTATAAACAGAAAAGCGCGCGTGTGTGTGTGTGTGTGTGTGTGTGTGTGTGTGTGTGTATAAAATTAGAGGGAGACACTAACATATTCCTGTTGTACATAACAACTCATTTCTGTTCTGACAACTGGGAGAAATCACAAAGACATTCAAAGAGAAGTAATCAACGGTTAAGATTGTAAAAACAAGCTGGTGAAGGTTCCCAGAAGCTCTCAGAAGGAAAGAAGCCACCATGTCAGCTACCTCTGAGCGGTTTCCCCTGGAGAAATGTCCAGGTGGGCTTCTCTGTTGTAAGACAGAAAACGAAGCCATGGTCAGTGGGTCAGGCTATGCATCACCCACTGGCTCTTCGGTTCTACCCAGGTTCTAAGATGCCTTTGTTTCTCCAATGTGGGGTTTTCCAGCGAGAATGTGAGGGAATTTTCCCAGGCTCTCATGCCTGCGGTTCACTGGGAGGACACCATCAGGCCTTGAGAATCACAAAGGAAGGACCTTAGAGAGGGTGTCCTGTACCAGGCTGTTTCTTTGGGGCCACCAAGCAGCTCCCAAATTATGACAGACTTATTATTAGTTTTGAATGCTCAGCCTAGCTTAGGCATATTTCTGACTAGCTCTAACTTAAATCAACCTGTTTGTCTTTATCTACCATTTTGCCTGGGGCTTATTACCTTTGCTACTTCTGTGTGTCTTACTTTTCCTGCTTCTCTATGTCTGGCTGGCTGGCATCTGCCTGGCTTCTTGCCCCCAGGCAAGTACTCCATTCTCTCCTCCATCCTTTCTCCTTTTTTTCTTGTTTCTCCCTTTTCTTGAGCCTACATCCTTTCCTATTTATTCTCTCTGCCAAGTAGCCTTGCCTAGCCCTCTTCTGCCTAGCTATTGGCCGTTCAGCTCTTTATTGGATCAATCAGGCGTCTTAGGAAGGCAAGATGAAACAAATGCAGGCCACCTTTACAGAATTAATGCTTACATTCTTACATTGTTTAACAGATGCAGCATAAACAAAACTAACACACCTTTACACAGTTAAAATAATATTCTGCAGTATAAACAAATATAACACATCTTTGCCTGCCTGGTTAAACAAATATTCCACAACAAAGGTCTTGAACTCCTCTCAGAAGAAAGTCAAGACCAAAAAACCAGATCCCTGGAGAATGCAGAGGCCATCTGAGAACTAGGTGAGCTTTCCTGCAAATCTATCAGAGATTAACGAAATGAATTACCATGATAAGACCCTGGAGACAACAGCCATTCTCTACGTCATCCACCCATGGTTGCCTTGTAGGGTATTTCCTACTGTCTTAAACACTGAAGGCATAGTCAAGTGGTGAGCGTCTTCACAAAATCCACCTGCTTGCCAGGAGGATGTGGAGGGATGGAGGGAGCACAACAGTCAACAGTGATCCCCTCCTGTGTGAGCTCCTCCTCCAGTCAGACAGCGGGTTCCTTGCCAAGTTCTCAAGACCAGTCCTAACCAACTGCACTAACCAGAATCTAAATCAAAACAGAAACCACCGAAATGTTAGTGAAGGAGAAGCTATACAACATGTCTTCCCCGGCCTGGCACTGAGACCCTACAGTACTAATTATTTTGGAAGCTGTTGTGATCCTAAAGCATGGCGAACGGTGGGAAATTCCTGCGCCCTGCCCTGAAGTTTTGGACAATGAAGTCAGTCATTCCAGCAAGGCTTCAAAGTAATCGTGAAATTTTCACAAAGTTCTTTCTGAAGAATTCTGGAGTCAATTCTTTCTCGCTGCATAGGATGGAAGTCCCCCCCCCCCCCGTTCCTTAACACTCAGTTTTCACTTGTGATTTCAAATGGGACAAAAGATGTAGATGCCACACACCAACCTTGTAGGAACAATCACCAGTGAGTCGCATAGCTTCCATCCCCTAATGAGTCACTGTTACAGACAAGTGAGAATGGAACTAATCCAGAGCTCCTCTTTTAGAACACATTTTTCTCTAACCCATACATTACTGATGTTGGAAGTGAACTCCACCACCCTACACCCCCAAACACACACTTCCTTCCGTGCTTGAAAACACAAACCTTCACACGCAGATCTCTGCAGACTCGTCACCAAATGCTTTATAGATCTCCCAAGGCAAAGCCCAAATGTTTGGGAATAAAGTAATTATTTTTTGAACTGGGTCCTTTTATTAAGATGAGTAGTTAAGCTGGCAGAATTCAGCTTAAAGAGCTCTTGCCTCACGCCAGCAAGGTCCTGGGAGCCATCTCCATGACAAAAGAAACAAAAATGAGAGCAAACTCAGCAAAACTGATAGTTGTTCTCATTTATAGTTCTCATTTATATAATATGTGCATATTATATACGTATACATACATGGGACAATTTTTTTATTCTGGTGAATCACAAATGTTTGCTTTTGTTTTTTAGTAAATGCAATAAAAGGATTTTAGGTATTTAGTTTTCTGGAATTATATAGGTCTTCTATCTAAATACGGTTTTTATATCTGATGTTAGAATTATTTAAGAAGCAGTTCTGGGCATTCTTCAACCTCCCATAAAACAAATGCTTCATGAATGTTTATGCTCAGACACAAATTTCCTTGCCACCAAAAAGACCAGATATCATCATAATTACACAACACCTGGAGATCTCCCTTGGGGATGTTATAATTATACCCTAAGGTCACAAACTTAAACACAGTGTTCTTAGCTAGAGTAATAAGGCCAGTAATGCTATGTTTAAATCCTTGGGCTGGCAAGAGGGCGCAATGGGTACAGACACTTGCTGCCAAGGCAAGTTGTCCTCTGACCTCCTCACAAGCTGGGGGGGGGGCATGCATGCCCCCCCCTACACACACATAATAGAAGGTGCATATATCTTAATTTTCTCAGGGGTATGTTAAGACAATTAAACAGTGCTTTTAAGTCTGGTTTTCATCTTAAACAAGGAAAAAATCAAATGTGTGCCTTGGGAATCTATCAATGATGCACAATATTTTCAGTTGTCAGAATAAAGTTAAATAGAACAGGGTTGTTCCCAGTATATAAAGCTGTAGTCTTTCTTTTGATCTGTGTGTCATCTGTTTTGAGATTCTTCTACTTCTAGGCCTTTGATTCTATAATTTAGTCATAGTTCCAACATGAATCCAGCTCTTACTTGCATCAACACCAGAAGTTATTAATCACAAGTCTAAAACTTTGTCTCCATGAAAATTCTTCCCTGGCCATCCATACAAGATAAAAGATATGGGTTGATAGGGTGTTGCGGGGGGGGGGGA